TTTTTTTATAGCAAAAAGTCTTTTGCCTTACTAATCAGTATTATTCATGCTTAACTTTCAAGACTTTGAAATTAAAATTGCGTTTTTTATACAAATGTAAGTAACCGAAAAAAATAAATTACCATTTCCAAAATAAATTTATAATTTGGCAAATAGAACATTATTCAAAAAATTAATACTTCAAAATCTAAGTATCTACAATGTAAAAATAATTTGCTGAAAATGTATAGCTTTTATTTTTTATAGGAYTATAATGTTCTTAATGACAACAAAATTGGATTTAATTAGATTTAGGAAAACTTAAAATTGTAAACTCACCAATTTTCAGACACAAAAATGTACTACCAGACTTATATCGATTGATTATTCACAAACATAGCATAAATATTAGAAAGCCTACTACCAGTAAAAATTAGGTGATTACCTATAGATGCTACATAAAATATACACGAAAAAACTTAATCGTGAAATTAATAACTTTGCACATTATCTGAAATACTATACATTATAGGAACAAATTATCTGGAATTTAGATTTACAATATTAGTTACAACTTTCATATATTTTACACTCGAATACGATATAATAAAATTAAAACAGTATAATATAAATATTATATATTAGCTCGTCTGTTTACATATTTTTMTGRAGATTTATATTATGAAACTTGGGCAAATATAATATAGTATAGCCGGGTAGAAAGTGAGATAATATTTGTTTTTGAGTTTAATCGATAGCTTTCATTTATTTAGTTACCTACCCGTCCAAATGATTCGGTATTTAACGTAGGTACAGAAAATTACCGATTTTTATTAGAGAATTAAATAAAATCTCAAAAGATTATAAGCACATCAATATTTTAAAATAATACAGACCGAGTTTACAGTCTTAATAGCATAGACAGTTTTGTAAACATATTTATTAATCGTTAATATCAACAATTTTTAAAAATGGAATAAAACTATATTAATCGTTTGTGCTCCCTTCGCGGCCCAATTCCCACTTTTCACTACCTTCGATATTGTGTGGGAATGAATAGGTACACACGRGTACACGACATTACGTAAGCATATTGCATCATGCAGTAATACACACAATTTTTCAATTCTATCTCCTACCTAAATCGAATAAAATGTGTTAGTTATAAACTAATACTTGTATGAACTTATAACCAGTTAAATCTATTCAGTATTTCAAATTGATGTTTTATGTGGATAATATAAAGTATATATAGCATCTATATGACAYTGTAATTAGGAACGAAAATCATAAATTTATAAAATTTTAATGTAAGTACCGAAGGCAATAGGTAGGTACATATAACATGTATATTGTATAATATAATTATTAATTAATATACACTATTCATTTTGTAAGTGACTTAAACGTTAGTAAAAACATTCAAAAATTCTGTAGAAGATTATGACAGCTGACAGGTATAATATAGCATATAACTTAATATGTGTTACATCGCTACTTATTGTTATTTAAATGAATTTTTAGAGAATAATTTTAATTTTAGCTACAGCCTACAGTAATAGCTGTAATCACCATCAATGTCAAAATCATAAACTACTTAAAATAAATTAATGTTTCTAAAAAACTATTTCAAAATTTGTACTTCTTATTTATAGTTATCACATTATTTTTATATACATATAATTATTAATGACAGTACCAAGAGATCATCATTTAATGAAAACGGGAGCTCTAAGTTTCAAAAAATAAATAAATACTTATGGATAAACCTGTATAAAAAAAATGGCTACAGTCATTAGATATTATAACTCTTTAATATATTCACTATAAATTGAATTGTTATAATATCCTCAATTATTGCTAATTGATAGGTGAACGGTCCCCAAGTACAAAAAAACCCGATTTTAAATCTTATGAGACATACCTAGCTACTTCATTATTATTATTTATCTTATTTTATATGTATATATAGGRCATATAGGTATATAGGCAAAATAGATTGGCGCCATTTTCTATATACATAATAAATCATACCTATAACCTATACCTAATCTAAAGAAGTCTTCATACGATAGCAGTTCAAGTATATTTTTCATATAAATTAGATACAATTACCTTCTTCTTTAAGCCACATTTTATATTTTATATTTTATTTCGTTTTAAATCATTGCAAATTTATAAATTTTAGGAGCTAATATTATATTATCCATGTATAATAAACACATAACAGGGTAAGTCACAAAATTAAGCTACAATTAAAAACACTAAAATATTTTTATTAATATCATAATATTATGTTTATCACATAGACACTCACGAATATTTTAAAAATACAAACATGTTCTAATGCAGCGAAATGTTTTTTAAAACATAAGTATTTCCTGAAAGGTATCTCACAAAAGCAAATCCATTCAATTTAGTTTTTGATAATAATTCGGGATTCTCTTATGACCGGATTTTTATAAAAGCAATTTATAACAATTCTATATTTGAGAAACAATTTTTAGATAAAATAACCAATGACAAAATTTAAGTAAGAACTCAAAAGAAAAAAACAGTAACATTTTTATCACTGTTGATTGTTGAGTATTGGATAAACAGGATAAACTGATGTCCTCAAAAAATTTCGTTGAAAATATTCTTAAAATATAATAATTTATAGTTTTATTTCGATTATAATATAGTTACTAACTCTTTTTAATTGAAATTGTATGGCAACAACTTTAAATCAGACAAAATTATTAAATTGAGAGGTCTATGGTACAAAATAAAGAATGATACTTGAATAGCTGATGTTGGGGAATGGGAGGTGGTGGAGGTGGACAGAGCCTTATGGAGATGTATTATGCACGTCAAGGCGGTGGCCGACCTCATATTATAGTCGAAAACGGCGAGCGAGGAAAAGGAAGAAAAAGAAATATAAACTTAAATAATATCATACTAAATATAAATATTGAAAAGCACTCTTGATTCCAATTGTATGTATATACTAACTTTTCCAAATCATACATACATAACTGTTAACAATATTATTTATTTCAAATTAGCGCAGTTAAAGGATTGATAAATTAATACARGATTCAGSAAAAGAAACAGTAAAAATAAATGTTTATAAATTACGAATTAAGATTATTGTAATTTTATATGCTCAAACTCTCACCTTATAATTTCGAAGTTCAGCCATCTTAAAACTGTACTGTCAAACGAACAAAATATTTGAACAAATTATGATTCCTTGTTCAACCTAGAATAAATATAAATAACATATTATTAATTGAAG